TTAAAACTGACTCAAACAAGAGTGCTCAATGTTTATTTTCATTAAACGGAGCAAATTTTCTTTATAATTGGAATTAAGATACTTTTAGTAAATGACCATTATTAAAATATCTATAATTACGATACCTTTAGTAAATGACCATTTTCACCTCCGAATTTTAATTTTAACATTCGCAGGATTTTTCAAACTGCTTATGGTCTCAGTTTGTAGTGTACTGTTTATTTGGAGAGAGAGAGAGAGAGAGAGAGAGAGAGAGAGAGAGAGAGAGAGAGAGAGAAGAGAGAGAGAGAGTATGTTAATTATTGGGAGGAAAAGAAAAAAGGCATGGAATCATATTATGGAGGTAGGAGAGCTTGGGTAGGGGGAGGGAGGGATGAAACCGATGACCTGATCTATATCCTAATGGTCACACAGTCAAAATTTATTTCGATGGCAATTCACGGAAATTAACGAAAACGTGAAAAAACCCTCAAGAGGTAACTTTGGTAAAATGAAAGAGAGTTAATTCGGAATTATTGGTATTAAACTCGTCCATATATCAGAGCTCAAAGATTGGGGGAGTGTTTTCAAGGATTTGGAGTGAATACGGATATATATGTATGCGTTCTCATGCGTTTGACCACGTTAATAATACCTACCCGTATAGCTGTCTACACTAACATACAGTCAAATTACGAACGACCCTACAACGGAATTTTGCTATTGTATCGAATCCCGATACTCCGAATTTTACCATTCAACGAAAAACCGAGTAGAAGGAATTCTACACCAACTAGCCAGTATCCCGCGAATTTTAAAATTAAAATTCGTAGGTGAAAAAAGGTCATTTACTAAAGGTATCTTAATTCCAATTCTAAAAAAGTATATATATATATATATATATATATATATATATATATATATATATATATATTACAAAAGACTTAATCATACCTTGAATCAATTAGCAACAATTATTGCTAATTGATTCAAGGTATGATTAACTTTTTGTAATATAAATATATGCTGCCTATTTTATTATGTTCATATATATATATATATATATATATATATATATATATATATATATATATATAGAGAGAGAGAGAGAGAGAGATAGATAGATAGATAGATAGATAGATAGATAGATAGATAGATAGATATTCCATTGGTGAGAAGAAAATTCTATTCAAATATCTTCATCTCCGGAACTCTTGCATTGTTGAACAGACTCCCGAGATGATACTTCCTCGGTCATTACAATTTTAAATCTCTTCAAGTCTAAGGTCAACCGTTATCGATCCTATAGTGATTTTCCAAGCATAGCTTAGATGTGGCACAAAGCCGAAAGTATGGGGCACCCAGTGAGGATCGAATTCACTATTCAGTCGCAATTGTTTTAGCGCGACAAGCTTGTTAACCATTACACCGCGCCGAAGTTCCCAACCGTTATCTATCCTATATATCATCATAATATGCTCCTCTTGCTCTCTGCCCGTACGTTCTGGCAACAACACCATTCAGTAAGCCTCTACCTGGAGTTACTCTTGAGCGAAATGGTATAAAGAATCAGATACTTCCTGGAGCGATAGAATGAGATGGACGTTATTCCAGAAGAATACTGAAAATTCCGTGGACGGAGCGAATAAGCAACAAGGAAATATTAAAGAAAAAATGTCATCAGAAAGATCACCTCTACAGTGGAACCTCGGTTCATGAATTTAATTCGTTCCTGAAGGCCGTTCGTAACCCGAAATGTTCGTAAACTGGAACTATTTTTTCAATGTAGAAAAAAAAGTCACAGTCCAACACACGAATAAATACAACACAGCAGTCGACTCAGAAATTCTTCCGTTCGTGTTCGAGAACCGAAATTTTGTTCGATAACCGAGGCATTTTCATCTCGAAGTTTTTGTTCGAAAACCGATTTGTTCGACATGTGAGACGTTTGACTCTGTACTCACAATCAAGTAAAGACAGCTGAAATTCCTTTGACAATTAATGCGAAAAAAAGGCATGGAAATTCCCTGCTGGAATATATTGATGGCAAGGGAAATAGGGAGAATCAGCTAACCAGTTACCTGGTGAGATTGTCAGATAGGAAGTTGTGGAGGGTCATGATCGCCTATGTTCTGAAGGGGCGCGACACCGGGTAGTCTTCAGGGTTAACAACAAAATATGCTAATTAAGGTGACTTGCAACTTAATGAGAATACTGTGGGGTCTGCGTCTGTGTAAAAAAATAAATCAAATATGATAGAAATGAGATAGACTTGCAGAGTTGAGTCTGTGGGGAAACATGATCTTCTTTTTCATGTGCCTTGTCCCTTCAGGACGTAGGCGATCATGGCACTCCACAATTTCCGGTCCTTTGTAGCTTTTAATAAATGTTGTATTTTTGTTATTTCTCCAAAACCCTGTTCTACCTTTCATTTATTCTTGCTCACTAAGTATATTATGCGTTGTTATCCTCAGTTCCTCTTGCCTTCAATCTGTCCTGTGAGTATCAGATTTTCCAAACCCTCCTACCTCTTTATGCGCCCCGGATATTTCAAATGTCTATTCTTGATGTTAAGCATAAGTTCACTTTTTGATTCTATTTTCTCTAAAACCTTTTCATTGCTCACATGTTCGGTCTATGGTAGACTCTGAATCTTTCTGTATAACAACATTTCTGTTGCTTCAAGTCTCTTTTTCATCTTTGATGAGATTATCCAGCATTCACTACAATATAGAGAGACAGATATCACGTAACAGTTCAGGATTATATTTTTTTGTTTCTAATGAAATTTCTCTGTCTCTTTATACTCTGCTTAGCTTTTGGAAGGCATCAAAATGCGTCTTCGGATTTCAGTGTCGTATTTTCCGTCCTCTGTTAAATCATTTCCCATATAGCTAAATTTTTGTACTTGTTTGATTTTCGTATCCCCGATTTTTAATTTGCATATTGGGTTGTCCCTTTTGCAAACAACCATGCATTTTGTCTTCTTGCAATTGATGTTTAATTCTTTTTTCTCGCTTTCTTTCTCTGACTTCTGCAGGAATTATTGTAGTTTTCTTTCTGTGTCTGTTATCGGCACTGTTGTCATCTGCATATTTTGTGTTGTTAAGATCATGGCCGCCAATAATGAATCTTGTTAGGACTTCTAATTCTTTCAGAATCACCTTGCTGTATAAGTTTAATAAGTCTGGTGAGAAGACACATCCTTGTCTCACACCACTTTCTATTTTTGCATATCTGCTGAACTCATTTTCTATCCGTATGCAGGCGATTTAAATCAGGGTCTTCTTTTTTTATGTGCCGTGCCCCTTCAGGACGTAGGCGATCATGGCTCTCCACTTTCTCTTATCCCGTGTAGCTCTCAATATGTTTTATCTCTTTGCTACTTCTCCCTGACGCTGTTCTGCCATCCACTAGATATGTCACGTGTTGCTTTTCATTGTCTCTGTTTCCCTCTATTCGCCTTGTGAGTATCAGATTCTCCAAGCCCTCCTTTTTTATTACGTTTCCCAGAAATTTCAGCTGCCTCTTTCTGATGTTAAGTATGAGCTTCCTCCTCGTTTGCATTCTCTCCAAAACCTCATCGTTGCTCACATGTTCGGTCCATGGTATCCGTAGCATCCTTCTGTAGAACCATACCTCCGTTGCGTCGAGTCTCTTTTTCATCTTTGAGGAGACCGTCCAACATTCGCTGCCGTAAAGGAGGACAGATCAGAAAATAACTCGTCATCTAAAAGATCCGGAAAAGAGAGGTGCCGGCCTTGTGTCTAACTGATGTAATTATGTTAATAAATATTAAAAGCCGGGAGGTGAAGTTAGAGCAGCTCCGACCAGGATATGGCAACCAAACTCAATTTTTGGTCTAATCTGACTCTCATAAAATCAGCTCAATTATTTCTTTCTTTGTCGCCTCTCTTACCGTGTTTTATATCAAGGCATCGTCCGTAAGTCCTGTGTTCTGCTTGTTCCACACGCTGCGTCTGTCTTGTACACGTGCGTATGGAAGTGCAGCTATATAGAGTTGGACTCTCGTCCTGTGTTAAACTTAGATTTCCTCTTATGGAAATTCCGTGAGTGCTTCTTAAGCCGCTCACAATCCTACTGATTCTAAGTCATCGAATCGATCACGATAGAAGAGAGAAAGTATATATATATCTCTCTATAAATATATATATATATATATATATATATATATATATATATATATATATTGTCAACACGTGATCAGACCGCTATCTCCTAAACCACGCGCTGTCGCAATCTTTATTTTTCTACCAACCCGTCTCTTTCCGTCGTTACAAAGAGAAAGAGAACGAAACAAACCTCAGTTGATTTACATGCATTTTAAAACTGTTGCACTTCTACTTTATTGCATGTGTCCCGCTTCATTGTTTATTTCACGAACGTAAAATGTGAATCGTTTATTCATTCCAATATTAATCAAAGTCAGTGAAGTTTAATTACTCTATGTGATTAAATATATCCTTTATTGAAGTTGGTAATCTCCACAAATAAGACCGTAGAAGCTATGTTCAAAAAATTCTTGATACTCGAATTAATCAGGGTTATAAAAATCGATGAATAAAATTAAGAGGTATGTTTGCATTATTTTCTAGTTTGGGTGTTTTTGCATCCATTTTTTATTTTTTATTTTTTATTTTTTATCTCTTTTTGAAATGCTTAATTAGACTTCATTCGTCGTATAACGTGTTACTCGTGTGTGGCTATACTTTTAATCAGCTATCTCGAAACAAATGTAATGTACTGCTGTAGTCTTAGATGCAGGGAAGAAAATATCTACTTTAGTATCTGGAACAGATATCTATCAAGTCAAGTATGACGCTGGACGAATTATTCGCCCTAAATTTCGGGTAAATTTGATCATAAAAAAAAACGTGTTATGTAGCGTCTAGTTTTTATTTTATCTTTATTTCAACCAATTCGTTCGTGTGTACAGTGACCCCAGAAAGGGTATGCTCACACAAGAGAACAACAAATATATGTACTACATTTGCTTACAGTGTTTTTCTAATTTCTCAAAACCTATGGGTAACACCGAATGTATCGAAGGAAAGTAGCATTTGTTACAGCATTTCTGTAATTCTATCTATCTATCTATCTATCTATCTATCTATCTATCTATCTATCTATCTATCTATCTATCTATCGATAGATAGATAGATAGATAGATAGATAGATAGATAGATAGCTAATGGACAGAATGAGATAGATATCTCTCTTGTTCCTTCCTTCCTATCTATCTATCTATCTATCTCATTCTGGTCGTTATCTATCTATCTATCTATATATCTATCTATCTATCTATCTATCTATAGATAGATAGATAGATAGATAGATAGATAGATAGATAGATAGATAGATAATGAACAGAATGAGATAGATATCTCTCCTGTTCCTTCCTATCTATCTATCTATCTATCTATCTATCTATCTATCATTAGCTATCTATCTATCTATCTATCTATCTATCTATCGATAGATAGATAGATAGATAGATAGATAGATAGATAGATAGATAGATAGATTTCTCAATCATTTAAATCAATTACAGAGTATAACGTATTACGAAATTGACCAGTTCTAGATGATTCAAAAAATGTGCTGAATACATAACAATTCATCCCGAAGTTAAACAATGAGTATATATGGTGGGTGCTACTAACAAGCAGAAATTTTTTTCTCCTGACGATGGCCATGTTGGCCGAAACTAGTCGAGGAATCTAACTGAAATAATAAAAACGAAAGACAACCCAGTGTCTGAAGATTCTAATTTTGAATAATTTTTTTTGATATTTTTTTATTGTTCAAAACATACACACACACAAACACACACACACACACACATATACATATATATATATATATATATATATATATATATATATATATATATATATAAACTGTCTCTGATATCTATCTACGAAATATATCAAATTTTAAACTCTAAGTACACACACACACACAAACGCTCACACACATACACACAACACACACATACACACATATATATATATTTATGTGTTATAAATAAACAAGCAAGTGCCTTCTTCGATAACGAGTCAACTGCCACTACATACACACATGTGTGTATTTATATACACATATATACGTGTAATTTATAAGCACACACACACACACACATACACACACACATATATATATATATTTTATATATATAAGAATATGATGTGATAAACAAAAATCCAGTTAACTTGAATAGTCATTTTGACACTAACCTATAGTGAGCAGCATAGTTCTTTTGTGACATCGCAGAGTACATACTAACTAAAAATGTTAGGATAAGTTTGTTTATTTACAATAGTCAATTTCTCGGAAATTTTGCGTTATACTTAACCCGCCATAATTTATGTATAAAATTATTTTTAGCTCAAGGAGTATTTTTAGCTCGCTGGTGATTTTGTAATTACATTGTGCGTATAAAAAATATAAAATAACTTAAACATTGCCGCCATTAAACACGTTTAATAATAATAATAATAATAATAATAATAATCTGTTTGTGTGTGTGTGTGTCTGTGTGTGTTTACATGTATGCTTCCGTGTGTAACAAACACACTTCGTATTGGAAATAACGAATTAATGTGGTGCCGAATTGACGAAGATGTTTATGCGGGAATGTTTCAGAATAGTCAGAGGTGCATGTGTACCTGGCTTCACATGTGTTTGTGTTGGCGGAAAGGGCGGTTGTGCAGAGTTATGATGGACCCTTCTTTTTGATTTGATTGTTCCTGTCATCTTTGTTGTTGTTAGTATAAATTATTTCGCTACAATGAACGAAGAAGATATAGAAATATGATTCGTTTTTAATCCCGTTTCGATGGTTGTCAAAACCCGTGAGGAAAAATCAAATCGAGTGTAAATCGATATTAGCAGAAAGCAGGAACGAAACAGATCTTTCTCTCTTTTTCTTTCTTTCTTTCTTTCTTTCTTTCTTTCTTTTTCTTTCTTTCTTTCTTTATTTCCTTCTTTCTTTCTTTATTTCTTTCTTTCCTTCTTTCTTTCTTTCTTTCTTTCTTTCTTTCCTTCTTTCTTTCGTTCACTTTAAAAGATTTCATATCAAGACGGTTGCATTCGTTTCTTATCTGTTTTGGGGCGTGATTTGTGGACACATCGCCACTGAGTTTGCTGACAGTCCAACCCTGGTTTCAAAGACTGAAGAAAGCTGAGCAGCATACACGTCTATCTCCTCTGGAATATAGGTGCTGCACAATCTTCCAATTTCCAAGCAAATGACATATATGAGGGGTTGTAATATCTCCAAAATAGGCTTTACTTACATCTGCTATATATACTCTCTCTCCCTCTCTCTCGTTATTTATCGGTTTTCATTTCTCTTTCTCTCTCACTTTCTTTTGTCTCTCTCTCTCTCTCCCCCTTTTGACTCCCTGTCCTTCCTTCCTTTCTTTCTTTCTTTCTTTTCTCTACCTCTCTTCTCTAGTCTCTCTCTCCCGATTGTCTCTCACTCACTCACTCCACCTCCCTCTACTCACTCTCTCGCTCTTCTCTTCTCCTCTCTCTTACCACCTCTTGTAACTCTTTTTCTCTTGTTCATCCTCTCTCACCACCCCCGCGTCATGGTGCTCTTTTTCGCACAGACCTCTCCTTCAATTCTCTCTCTCTCTCTCTCACTCTCTCTCTCTCTCTCTCTCAATCTCTCTCTCTCTCTCCGTTCGTTGTTCATCTTTTTCCGTCTGGACACATCTGGTCTGGTCTGTATATCTGTTTACAGGTTGAAGAGTGAAATTTCTTTTTAATCTGGTATTCGTTGATGTTCCGATCCAGGTAAAAAAAATAATAATAATAAAATCTGAATGCTTGTTTTAAAAAGCATATACACAGGTAGAGCTATGTTCCTTTTCATTCACAACCGACAACACGAGTTTCTAAGCGGTCTACAGATTCGATAATTTGTAAAATCTGTGATACCCACAATGTGTATCTGTATCTTAATCTCATGCTATACTTATCGAATCAAACAGTGTGGTGTAGTGAGGGATGTTTTACGTAATTGCCGGTTCAGGGGTGATTAACACAACCAAAGAAATAGAAAAATAAAGGAAAGACGGACATTTTCCGCATTTGATGTACTTTTGAGTAATACATAAATTTAATAATTAAAACAAGTAATTATCATGTAAAGAGGCATGTCAGAAATCCACACAAAATAGGTTCTACACACACACACACACACACACACACACACACACACACACACACACACATATATATATATATATATATATATATATATATATATATATATCTGTGGGGGGTGTAAAATATATAGAAAGTAGGAAAGAACTTGTTAGGTAAATAATCCAAAGTTCTTTAGTATTTTTTTATTATTTTTTTTTAAAATAGTGCTCGATACAAGAGTAGAGCATAAATATAATTATTTATTTAAAAATAAGACATTTTTATGTTTATACATTCTTTTTTTATATATATATATATATATATATATATATATATATATATATATTATATTAAAAGAGTTAATCATACCTTGAATCAAGGTATGATTAACTCTTTAATATGAAAATATATGCTGCCTATTTTATTATATATATATATATATATATATATATATATATATATATATACAGTGTGCAATGGATAAATTGTCATCTAAATTACGCAAAAAATGAAAATTACACTGACATCTTATTTTAATAGATATATTTAACAAAATTACACAAAAATATCTGGAAATCCTAACGAGTAAATTTATTCAACAAAATCGCCATTAACTTCAACCACAGAATCTCCCGCAACTCTTCTGGATGGTTTCCTTGTTTAAGTTGATGAATGCTGTCATAATCGTTGTCTTCTGTTTATCTTTGATGCTACAAGGAGTTTTGTTGGTCTCTCGCTCTAATGCGCCCCACAACATAATAACCAAAGGGGTTGCAAACTGGGGTATCACGAGGCCAGGTGTAAGGGGTGATGTGGTCGCAGAAATTGTCTGACAGCCAGGACTGGTTTCTCCTGCTTGTGTGACATAGTGCAGAATCCTGTTGCCAGACATAGAGTCTTCCGGCAACCACCCTTTTGATCCAATGTAGCACCACCTCCTCAAGGCACTTGATGTAGGCCTCCGTGTTTAGGCTGAGATCCTATGGGAAGATGAATCGAGGCATAACATCACCATCACCAGTGATCACTCCAAATACCTTCGTAATCACCATTAGACTCATCGAACTCTTTCCAGTTCCTCTACACTGTCCTCAGATTGAAACCCGAACACTCTTCCGGTGCGAATGCCAAGCAGTACAGCTTTCCGTTTGCATATTTCAGACAGTGCCCAACTGACCCTACTATACTGCTCAGGTGATAAAATCAAAAGCAAACAACGAAATTAAAAATATAACATGGTGACAATTTACCTATCTATATAAAGAACTTTCTTATCTGGTAACTAGACTTTATGAATTTAACCTGAGTATTAGATTGGCGAAAAGATCCAATCATTTTACAGTTGAAATGGCTAGATGTAACCGTAAGTTCTATGCTAACAGTTTCTTTTCTCGCACTTCTCATTTGTGGAACTCTCTTCCGGTCTCTTCCTTTACAGTCAACTTTGATTTTCAAAAATTTAAATGCATCTTCTGTGCTCTTCATTCTTGTTTCTTTTATAGTTCTCTCTCCTTAATAGTGTTTTTCTCAAATCCTCTAACACTCAGTAACATTGCCTCTTAGTGGATTTATTGCCTTGTTTGAGGTAAAAGGATTTCAAAATAATACACTATATCAGCCATCTCTTGTGGCCTTCTCTTATCGTTGTGAAAATTAATAAATACGTGTATATGACTTTTCAGTACTACCTGACCCAGGGATTGAACTCACAACTATCAGGGAATTAATTAATTAATCCACTAGGGCATATATGACTTTCTATAAAGACCAAATATTCAAGTTATCAGAAAACAAAACATATTTACATTTTAAATTATTTACTCACTTCCAGGCTAACATATTTCTTTTATTTTCATACGAATACCCTTGGAGAAGTCATGTTGATTTCGTCCCTTCTTCCACTCCCAGCTATGGGTTAAATAAATAACAGAATAGACTCGGTCTATTTCTCGCCTTGAGTAGCAATGAGTCCAAAAAAGTGCTTCCCCAGTTTTTTTTCTCTG